TGTAGATATATATATATATATATATATATATATCAAAAATCTATCGGAAAAGTTATTTTAATGTTGAAAAAACCTTTAATTGATCATCTCGATATTGAAATGTATCAATATGAAAAAAAAATAATTTTAGTCCAAAAAATAGTGCATATTACAATACATTATTTAGACCATTCATTTTCAAGATTTTCATATATTTATAGATCTATTTGATTTTAACCATTTTTGAATTTTAAAATTTTATAATTAGATATGAAAATAGATTTTGAGATAATCCCAAGAATTTGTTTGACCAAAATTATATGTTACGATAAAATTTAGAAGTGCGCCTTAATTGGATTGTTTAAAGTTACAACCTGATAGAAACCACACCTTTTATGTTTTCATTAGTGTTGACGGATTGACAAGTGGACTTTGACTCATCCGAGTTATTCAAGTTTGTCGGTCAGACGAGTCTCTTGCTAACTTGATTGAGTCTGCCAAGACTGACTTGGCATGAAGGCCTTAACGGGTTCAGACCCGAGACTCTGTATTTCAACACTAGTTTTCATTATAAGCATACAAATTTAAAAAGAGAAAACATGCATTACCTCTAACTGTCGGATGAGCATGGGATTGATGCCTGCAAGCATTTCTCGACCGAATTCGATGTCGCTTTGCCACCCAAAGTCGTCAGCTTCTGTAGAAAAATGAAGTATTTGAAAACAAGGACTCGGGCTTAGACTCACCAAGATCTTGAGTTTGAGCTAGTCAATTCTTAGTTAAATCTTTAGGTGACCCATCTCTTTCAGAGAGACTTTTTTTTTCTAGAAGTGGAAACTAGTAATCTTGAACTCTATAGGAAAAATTGCCTCTCTCTAACAAGCTATGTCTCTTTCTCTCTCTAGGAGACCCATCTCTCTCTTGGAGACCCATCTCTTTCTTGAAGATCCCTTCCTATGAACCCAAAAAGATGACCTAAAAAGCACGAATAATATACCTTTATTAACCCTTTATATAAAGATCACTTAGTTCCTTTGCTTGTTCTCTGAAAAAAAACTTTTTCTTTTATTGAAAACCATAATGCATGCAATCTTTTTAAAAAATGTATGAGTGGTAATTTTGACTATCACCAAACCTGACACGTTTATCTTTAAAAAATGAGTAGTGAATGCTTATGAAGAGTTTCTCTACATGTATTTGATTCTCTTCTTCCATTTCTTATAATGTGAAATTAAAAACCCTACCATTTCTATCTATTCAATAATACAAAAATTAATTTTGCATAACCACGGTTTAAATGATATTATTTTCAAATAACTCATAAAATTTTTACCTTTTCAAGAATACCGAGACACGATTGCTCCATGATATGCTCTTCCTTACTATGGAGAGAAGGGAGAGTTCTTTCCAATTGGTGGTGGCAATGTTTCAAACACATGTATTCGGGCATGGAATTACTTTGACAAGAAGTAACCAGAATGACTCAATCGACACTCAGTCCCAACCCAAATCAAATGAGTTGTAATCAAACTTAGGGTGACTTTGGTTAGGGTTGAAAATTTACCCGGTTTGGATCCGAAATCGGAATTTTGGATCTCATTTGGATCCGGTTATGGATCCAATATTTGAATTTAACGGGTTGGATCTGGATCCAATATTTGTTGGAATTGGGTACAGGTGGATCCTATCCGGATCCAAACCAGTTATTAAAATATTATATTATTTTATATACATACATAATATAGTATTTTTATTATATATTATTTTATAGATATAAAATAATACATTTTTTTTTAGATTCGATTGGATCCATATCCGGAGATGGATCCCATGTGTTCTTTTTGGATCCAGATCTAGATATCGGGTCATGATCCGAATTTGAATCCCATGTGTATTTTTTTGGATCCAAATCCAAATCCGAACCAACCCATTCCTCGCCCTAACTTTGGTGACTCCCCAACTCAGAGTTATCAATTTTATAGACACTAGTTAGTTACAACTGGGGCGGGCAATGATCCAGTCATTACAAGTGACCCAAGGGTTGAGCCTGGCCAAATATTTCTAACCCATAAAATGTCTGGCCATCCCAACCTAGGCGGTTCAAGGCCCATCTGACCTTGTATTAAAAAAAGCCCAAGCTCAGATTGGCCAAACCCTATCAAAAGCCGGGTCATATAACCAGGGTTGGGGTCGGCCCAACTCGTTGCCAGCCCTAGTCATTGCTACTTTGATGGTTCTCTTAAAATTCATTGTACGGCATGTATGGTGGTCTACCGTCTTCACTATCTCTCATCACCATCCTTATTTCATCGGAAAATAATATACATTCCAAATTATTGTAAATAAGAGAAGGGAAAAGTTTATACATAGCCGAGGCTCTAAACAATCACATTCGAGCCTACCTAAAAAATTTCACTAGACGAAATTGTTTTGATGCCTAAAAATCCTCAAATTGATCATCTCGACATCAAGATGCATGGACATGAGAAAAAATTAATTTCAAGTTTTGGACATAATGTATTTTGTAATGCATTTTTTTACCACCAATTTTCAAGATTTCGTCTATCTGTCGATCTACCCCATTTTTGAAGCTTTGAACTTTATAAATAAAGATCAAAGTATATTTTAAGGCTATCACAAATATTTTCAGTGTCAAAACTACATTTCCGGATACTACTTAAAGGTAGGCTCTAATTTGATTGTTTAGAGCCTAGGCTCTATACAAACCGCATCCATAAGAGAAAGACCCTGAGAGATTTTAAAAATTCACCTTGAATAATTTGGGGTACTGGGAATTTTGTTGAATTTTCTCTAATGGTCTTTACTATCTGTGCCATCAGCTCTTGGGGGACAAGTTTCTTCAATTTTTCGGCCACAACATTATCCAAAATCCGGTTTCGGTCGTTGAATAATTCTCGTATCTCCCGGAATGTTGTAAAATTTTGTATGTCTTTCTGGAAAAATGATTTTGCCACAGGAATAAGAAAATGCACAATGGCTTCTATAGAATTCTTGATAAATTCCGACATTTTCAAAGGACTGAAGCGCTCGTCCCTCGGAACATATATATTAATAACGTCGAGAAGTTCCAGCCGGCTCTCTGATGATGGATCTGTTAAGAAAAAGAAAACACACACACAGTAATCATGTTAAACAGTTTCAAATATCAGAGATCTTAAGAAGAAACAAAGGGTAAATGTTAAAAAGTTTCAAATATCAGAGATCTTAAGAAGAAACAAAGGGTAAATGTAATTCATGTAACTATAATAGTCAGTTCCAGTAGTTACAGGTCTTGTTTGGGTACCCAAGGAGGTGATATCATTTTGGCCTGGAGGGAAAAATGCCCTTCCACAAGGGGCTACGAATACAATACAAGAACAAGCAGGGTCATTTTGATAATTTATCCCTCCTTTAGGCATCCAGGATAAAATAACATAAATATCTTTTTATTTTATTTTTGACAACATTCCCTAGTTTTATTGCTCAAACGGAAATTACACTAGGGAAAAGTTTCTATACTTCCCCTACAGCATGGAAGTTCTATCCTCTTTTTACCATCCAGCCGTCCAATTTTGATCAAGGGAGCCACTCAGCTTTTGATCGTAGATCCTACATCTCTAAGTATTTTATTTTTAGTTTTTTTTATACAAATTGTATGAATATAAAATTTGGTACGTTCCATCTTTTCATTGGGACGCACTTATAAAAAATATTAAAAATAATTTTTTGATAAAATATAATGACCAAAATACCCCTTGAAGTTTTCAGGGGTATTTTGGTTATTTTATTTTATTGAAAATATATTTTTTTATATTTTTCGCTAGTGTGAGTTTAATAGAGGAATGGACATCCAAAATTTGGTGTCAAAATAGTTTATAGAAAAAAAATTAAAAATACAATAGTGTAGATACGTAACATTGTGATTGAGGCAATATTAGCCCTCCATCCAGAATGAACGGTTAGATAAGAGGAAGGATCGAACTTCTATGCTCTAAGGGAAGCATAGAAAGCCTGCCCATTACAATAAACTTAAACAAAAGGAACTTCAGATAACGAGTGATTGCAATGCTACGCCTCTCTTAACAAAAGAGTCAGCTACATCGTTGGCGTCCCTATAAATATATATGCCTATACGTGACACTCAGACAATTCCCAATACCCATAGCAGCCTATCAATGTCGAGATGATCAATTCGAGAGTTTTTCAATATTAAAACAGCTTTTTCCGATAGAGTTTGAGGTTCATCTGTAATTCTACATTTTTAAGGTTGCAACCATATATAAACTTCTTCCATAAAATAATATACAGCAAAAAAAATACTATATAACATATCTCTATATATATATACAAAATAATATATAACGCATAAATAACTAGGTCGGATCTGGATATGATCCACCTGTACCCAAATCATCTTATTCGAATTATTTGGATCCAAATCTTGGATCCACACCCAAATCCAAAGAGGATCCGAAATTCAGGTTCGAATCCAAACAAGGTAAACTCTCAAGCCTGCTTAGATATTGCATATATAGCACACACAAAGAATGAATGAGTGATACTGAATGCATAGCAAATAAAAGAAGAGAGAGACAGAGATACCTCGGGCACTCGGAGCTCGACCGGTTCTTCCTCTACGAGGGTACGGATGATGTGCAGAGCCACCTAAAACTGGTCTAGCAAGGTCAGGACCCTTATCAGGATCACCTAGATCATTATATTTATCATAGTCATAAATTCGATCCCATTCTTTTCTTTCTCCTCTGCCATTCCCTCTCAATTTTTTGAGCTCCTCTTCTCTCAAATGCCGAAGGCCAGTTGGTGTTTGGGTAGGAACATAACTCTGCATAGTCCACAATCACTATTAATCACAAACCATAAGACTTTAGCTTAATGATATCATTTGCATCTTTCATAAGTGATCAATGGGCCATAACATGTCCTTTAGGCTTGAGCTAAGCGAAAGACAGATTAGTTTAGTCTAGGGAGATCAGAGTTCTAATTTTTGAAGTTTGTTCCCCAAGTCAGAACAAGCTAATCTAGGGGTGGCAATCGGTCGGGTTGGGTCCAGGTCTGTCCAGACCCAGACTCAGACTCAAGCATATATATGAAAACTTGAAAATCTTGAAAATTGACGGTCTAAAAATGTGTTACAAGATGCACTATTTTTAAAATTTGAAATCCATTTTTTTCTCATGTCCATGCATCTTGATGTCAAGCTGATCAATAAAATGAGATTTTTTATGCAGGTTTTAATTTGATTGTTTAGAGCCTCGGCTCTATATAAACTTTTTCCACACATAAATATTTTAATTTTTGGGTCTGATCCAGGATTTGGTCCCACACTATATTTTTGAGTCCGGGTCTAGATCCAATGGCTTCGGGTCCCGATACCACATCATTTTTTGGGTTTGGGTTCCGGTCAGGCCACTCGTTGCCAGCCCTACGTCTCTCTAAAACTTGGAAGCACAAGGTGAAGGCACACCTTGTTGGAGAAGAAGACGCGGTCGACATTTGTTTTGGAGATTGGATAAACCCATGAATGGCAATCGAAATAAGCAGTGAGGCCACCATGAAGCTCCAGTCTAACACATTTCAGGAAGAATTCAGTCTTGTGCATGCTTTTTACAATGAGAGCACCAGGGAAACCAAACTCTTTCTCAACTCTAAATGAGATCTTGAAAGTTGAAATGTATATTCCTTCATGTTGTGAAATTCCACCCACTTTTAGATGTGCTGCCTCACAAAGCTTGCCTCTTCTTGTAACTACAACAAATGAAATATGAGAGACAGAGGGATGGAAGACCAGATAGAGAGAGAGAGATTCAAATGGAACAAGAGAAACTTCTAGAGAGAGAGTGATTCAAATGGAAGAGAGAGATAGAGTTGAATGAAGGCTGGATAACGAGAACCAAAGGGAAGAAAAGATAAAAGTATATTTCTCTTTCTTTTTCTTTTTTTTTTTTTTCGGAAAAGTTTATATGTGGTTGCAACATTAAAATGTAGAATTAAGGTGCACCCTCATAAAAGGTAGTTTTGATGTTAGAAAACTATGTAATTGAGAATCTTGACATCAAGATGTATGAATACGAAAAGAATAAAAGATTTCGAGTCCTAAAAATAATGTATCTTGCAACGCGTTGTCTGGACTGCCCATTTTCAAGTTTTTCTAGTATTCATAAATCTACATCATTTGAATCATTTTTGGAGTTTAAGATTTTATAATTGGAGTTGAAAATAGGTTCTCAAGCCATCCTCAGAATTTTTTACACCAAAATTATATTTATGACAAGTGCGTCTTAATTTGATTGTTTAAGGTTGCAACCTTATACAAACTACACCATTTATTTTTTTGTTATAAGGCAGTGACAATGGTCCTCTACTGCTCAGAGACAGTTTGGTAATTTAAATTGTTTTTAATATTTTGAATTGTTTTTTAAAATTATGAAAATATAAATTTTCAAACTTATTTCGACATATAGGAAAAAGATAAAGTTAAAATACACATTGTGTTCTAAAAAATGAGGCATGAATATAAAATATGAAATATATGAAACCATTTCTAAATATAATAAAATAAGATTTACATGTAAATTTCACATATAACTATTCTCCATTATTATTGTTCGAAAAGTAATAGAATCATCTATTTCCATGTTGCCAATAATTGAATTTGATTGTGGGTTTTCTTCAAAAAATCTAGCAAAGAAGACCATGCTTATTGGCCCATTTCTTCATAATCAATTTTATAAAAATAGTATTTATTAAATTACAAAAAAAATTAAAATTAATGGTGTTCTCTAAATTACATAAAAAAAATCTTCATAATCAATCTTAAAAAATGTTGTTTCTGAATTCAAAAAAGAGATTTTCATGTAATCAAGTTAACAAAAATGTTTTCCCTATTTAAAAAAACAATTCTTCATAATCACTTTAAAGAGCTCTGAAGCTTAAATTGAGATAGAGAGAGAAGGAAGAAACATAAGAAGGTTTTAAACCTAAGAATGAATGGAGAACTCACTTTGATCAACAACAGTGGTACTACAAAGCTGAAGAGAAACCAGCTTCCCAGGACCACATCTCCCCAAATTCCCTTGAATTACAACTTTTCCTTTGATCACTTGAAACCGAGCCGAGTCATGTCTGACCGTTTTCAGGCGATCGACAAGGTTTTGGCAACACTGAATCATCTCTCTCTCTCCCCCCTTTTTTGTGACCACTTATCAAAACCCTAAAAAAAAAAGATCAGTAGAAATTCCTAAGCCTGCATAGCTTGCCATTGAACATATATATGGTTGAATTTAAAGCTCAAATGAATGTTTGCATGGGAAGGAAGAGGAGAATATGTTAAAGTAGAAAAGGAAAAGAGATAAAAGTAATAGAAATGAAATTAAGAAAAGGGAAAAGTTAAAAAAAGGCAGAAGGAAGAGTGAGTTGCTGTTTCCTTTTGCTGGTTTGCATCTGGTACCATGCCAAGTTACAACAGAATGTTATGCTTCTTGGCCAAGTGATCCCATCCTTTTGGAATAATACTCTACTCCATCATGTCAATATTTCATCCCAACGGTATTTTTATAAGGAAAGTATTCAATAATTATCTTCGTAATAAAATGTACCAAAAATCATTTGCTGTCAAATGTGAAATTAGAAAGCTTGCAGTGTGCTATCGACCGCACTCAAAGTCTGAAAAGAATTTCTCAAAACTTCGTAGAAAGAAATGGCATACCCATGGTCAATGAATTTCTTGTCTGATTGACTAGACAGTTTGTACCAAAGTTAATGGTCTTGTCACATATTTATTATTGGGATCACTTTGAAAACAATAGAGAAAAAATAAAATATAATTCATGAAAAATTTCTAATTTTTTAAAATACATTGAATAGTAGATAAAAACGATATGTATGTGTGTGTGACCGTTTATGGGAGCACATTGAACATCTACCCCCTCCAGCAAAACACCTAAATAGGACAATTTTCTTGATTGGAAATTTTGGAACCCAACTTAGAATCTTTAGGTGAGTATTTTCAAAGAAAAAAAAAATGGATTTTGAGTTCTTAAGTACTTAGAGTCTCCATTCAAAATCAAGACATTAAATTCTCCAGGTGCATATATAGAGTGTATCAAGCTTTTGTATTTTTCTTATTTTTATTGTTGAGATTGGTCACTAGAGGAGATATTTGGGGTCCTAAAACTACTTCTAAGTAGGGTTTGTGAATCTAGGATGCAATATGTGGGTACATATATGAATTGTAGATATGCCCATGATAATATGTAATATTTAAATTCAGCATGGTGCCTTTTCAAGTGGATGTTATGGGGAATTTTAGTCCTTATGTATAAGAGGAAGAGTGAGGAGGTAAAGAAGGAACAAATAAAGATTTTAAATCCAGTGATTTAAAGTGGATCCATGAATCCGCGGTTTGAATCGTTATTACATTGTGTGAAAAAAAATAGTGAACCAGTGAAAAAACATGTGAAAAAAGAGTGAACAGGCTAAAAGCCGGTCCAGATCGTTGAATCGACAATCAGGATCAACGTTTTACTGTGTAGAACCGTCAATTTCTTTTTAGACTCGGCCGTTTTTCTATGTATAAATAAAACCAAAATGGGGGACCGATTCTTGAATCGGACGGGGCAATTTCTAGATGAACCGACGGTTTTTAATTCATTGCGAATCTCCAAGTATTTTGTGGGAGTTTGCATCTTATACAAACTAATCTATGCCCAATAGACTCTCTCTCTCTATAGTACCCTATTTTCTTTTCAAACAAAATACTAATGATGAAAATAATCTTTGGATGAAGTTTCTCTCACTTCTAGCATTTAAAAAAATCTCTCTCTTACCATTTTTCATTTGACAATACTAATGATAAAAACCATTATTTAATGGCGGTAGGTATTTATGTCATGTACTTTGATATAAAACATGCACAAAGTATATAGTAAGGTTGTTTATTTTTGGTATACAGATATCACAATTACCCATAACTATCAAATATACAATAAGGTTGTTTATTTTTGTTTTACAAAAGTCACAATTACCTATAGTTGTCAAATATGAAATTGAGAATCTAAAGATACGTAATTTACCCATTTAAAATTCAAGAAACGGCATCCAATAGTCTGATGTTGCATTTAAAGACCACAAATGTTTGCTCTCATATGCAGTGACTCTAAAGTGATATGGGTATTTTACTAGATCCCAATACCTCTATATAATGTTAGGGGCACACTAATGAAATAAGGTTCATCCCAAATACTTGGCTTACAATATCCATATGGAAAATTATTAAAATACTCATGAGAGATGCATCATTTACCATTTTACACTTTTGACACTTGTTCAACTCATGATTATCGTCCTTTTTATAGATATTTTGAAATTAAATCAAACAATATGGATACAGTGTTAAAATAGTTAATCTCATATGCGTATTTTGAAAATTTTCCCGTAGTTTATGCCAATCAATTGTACCATTGGCATCAAATCAAGGTTTATTTTCCATGACTTCTTGCATGGATACATGCACTAGTTATCCATGCATTAGTTTATGATACAGATATGTCAATCTCAAAATCATCTTTTCAAATACTACATGTTCATTCATCATTTAAAGTAAGGGAAGGTGGGAGTTTAGATGCATTAAGTACTTTTTCTATAGTGATATTTCCAAAAAAACAAATTGAAAAGAAGTGGTAGGATTTGTAGTGTATGACATGAATATTGTGCTTTGGGTATCGACACATAACACAAAATTAGGGACACGCGTGTCCATGTTTCATATAGGAGTTGATTTCGCCTAGCCTATTCATGCTGAAGGCATCATTCATGGCCCTCAATTTGAGGATAGAAAAATTTATAGGCATTCTTTAATTTGTTATTATTGGAGTAACTTCTTTTTTATAAAGTTTTATTAAAGCATATGTTAACCCTTTGCACCATCCTCTCTTATAGCTAACTTTTGCCTTTGCTTGTTATTAATGTAAAAAAGATCGACGGTTCAACTCGGAATAGCCCGAGTCGAACTAATATAGGTAAGTACACTGTTTGATTTTCTCTCATAATTCGGACTTGGCCTGATACACCCCATAGGTGGTTGTTCATATTACGATTTATAGCTCCTAAACTTCGTCTTAAACCAATGTTTGAAAAAAAAGGGATCGGTGGGGTGGATCGTCCAGCCACTGATCCCGTATCACCAATTACCAATTTGGGTAGGTCTGAATCAACAATTTGGAAAATATTACAAACAGTATAAAATTTAAACAAAAATAATAAGGAGTTATGGTTTGGGATTTACTATAATCCCTAGAAAAACATTCGAAAAGTTAAAAAGGAAAAAAAAAGGATTGTATACAATGAGATCATTTAGGCCCAGTTTGGATGTCAAAGAAAAAAAATATTCACATTGAAAAAAAATACAATTTCTTTCCTCATCAATTGAGAAACATTATCGTTTTATTTTATTATGTTAGTAGACTATTTGGATGTTTATTAAAATATGAGAATGAAATTTTATTTCCCATATATGTTTGTTTGGATGCGTTGCAATAAATTCTCAATTTGAATTTTTTCTTTATTTTTCTCATTACATAAAAAAGTTTTGACCAACCTTAAATAACATGCATTTTGTATGCCTTTGATTCTGGACATGGAATCACATGCCTTTAAGCATTATAAATCAAGGAAATAATATGCATGAGATCATATGGTTTCAACATGTAAGACTTCAGAGTTACATGTTTTAATTGTGATCAACCTTTTGCTTTATTGTGCTATAAAAACCTTCCAAAAACATTTTCACATAACTTCCAATAAATACCAAATTTGAAAACCAATTTCAAAAACTAAAAAAAAAGTTGGAAGAATCCCTTGAAAAAAAAATATTAGGCTATTGGAGGAGATTGAAGAGTAATATTAATTCAAGCATTAATTTTATTAGTCTACTATTGTGGTTACCTTGTCTAATTTTTATTATTTTAAAATTATTTTTTTGGATTTTATACTATATTTTTCGTGATAGTTGGATTGTATTTAATGTAGGCATATTTTAAATTTATATGTATTTTTTTTTTTTGCTAAAACATGTTTACACAAATGGTGGGAGATAAAAAAAATACCCTCATATAACAAATGACTCGGGCGTAAATAGTTTAAACTATCATGGCAAGTCTATGTACGCTAATAAATTTGATATAAGGCTTGTTAAATTTGATTTTCGAGGTGTGTTGCTATTTAGAAATAAATATTGTAAATACCAACAGACAAAAATGAATTTTGTAAAGTTGAATTCTGAATTTTGGACAAGTATAAAAATCAATCGTCTATAATTTTTTTCTAAAAAATATTATTTCGATCGTTTAAAATTTTTCTTTTTATTCTTTGCATGTTCTTGATCTCTATAGAGCAGTTGAAAATAGCAGAAAAATAATTCGAAATATAAAATTTAAAAAAAATCAATAAAAAATCTCAAACTCAATTTACACATTTTCAAAATTTAATTATATTGATTCCTCTCTAGATATACAGAATCACGGTTGGTAGAGATACCTAGCAAAACCCTGAATTTCTAGATAGAACAAAAAAAAGGAATCTAAGAGTACAACCTTGAATTTCTATAGACACTAGGAGAAATGAATCTAGGAGTGTAACCACTCTCCAACAAAACTCTCAATTTCTAGAGAGGGAGAGCTTTGAAATCAGGGGTGCAACTTTCTAGAGAGCGACAACGTTCATTTTTTCAAGAGAAGGAAAGAGATGTGAGATGAGGTTATCCAAACGGTTACCCGTTGCTGTCTCAATCTTTTTTTTTTGTCATTTGAAAATATTGCAATTTTGGTACATCCAAATTGGCCCTTACATTTGATACAAGGTGTTCACAAATCTTTACAACCATTCGATATGAACTTTGATAGCTTGGATGTGCAACAAAGTTCGAGAAATTTTTTTTGAAGTTTGAGCTTGGTCAATGGAATAATTGCAGCCACACGATTTTATATCCAATGGTCATGATTATTGTGACCGCCTTGTATCAAAGGTAAATGATCTGATTCTATACTTTCCCAAAAAAAAAAACATATATATATGGAAGATACTACAAAGCACCTATATGCGAAAATAAACAGTGATTTCGCTTACCCTCATCACCATCCAAACTTCATCGCATAGTCACAGTTGTCCAGTAGTATTTCAATTTTCATTTTTTTTACTAATCAGAATGATCTGAAATTTGGAGTATGTGTACATCTTAGTGAGCCACACCTAATAAAAATAT